TTTTTTTTTCTTGGCCGACTCTGAAATATTAAATAAGTGTGGTAGGTCGTGCAAATGGGAAATGAATCAGTTTAATCTATAGATATTACTTGTATTATACACTACCAATTATTATATTATTGGGAAATGCTACATCTCGTTACGGAAACATTTTATCGGGATTGTAGTCGTTAGATCATCATGTAACTGTCAGGAATAAGTGATCTAATTCCCTATATTATTAAGTACATCATTAAGTACCATAATAATATGTACGTAATGATTATCATTACTAGTATTCGATCTTGTGCATGAGATATAAAACACGTTTTTTATTTGTATTTATTTATTAGACATGTATTTCATCATATAAAAAATATTACTTTTAATAATATAAATAAAATAATTTTATTTAACCATGTAACGTTTACATTAGTAACATAAATAAAATAATTTATATATTTGTGACATATATTAAAAAAATTAACATAAATAAAAAAATATAACGATTTCAGCAAATTAATGTTTAATTAATTAAAAAAATAACTTTTTTTAAAGGAAAAATAAAAATAAATTTTATTAAATATTTTATTAAATGCATCAGATAATTATATATAGATTTTGGGGATAAATGAGCACACCTAGGGGTGTTCACGGTCCAGATTGGTCCGGTTTTAGTCCAAATCATGACCAAACCGGACTTAACGGTTAATTTTATTTCTTGTCTATAACCGGACCGACTTTATTTTTTAACCGGCCACAATCCGAACCGCATTGGACGGTCCGGTTTGGCGGTTAACCGGTTAAATCCAAAATTCTTGTTTCGGGTCTTCAATTTTTATATTTTTTTTATTTTGGGCTTAATTTTGTTTTTCAATTTTGGGCTCAAAAGAGATTATTTGGGCCTAAAAATTAAGAAACACAACAACAATGAAATAAAAATTACACAATTCGTCCCATAAACATGAAAATACAATAATGATGAAGATTAAATTATGCAAATTGAACCCAAGCAAGGTGAGAAAAAGTGAAAAGTTATAGTGTCTTACAAAATTAAGTCAACAAAATGTCAAAAAACGAAAGTAAATGTATTGTATTTGTCGGCCATAATGAATCATTGAATGTATATATGTATATTTGTTATAGATTTTTAATATTTACCGGTCCGGTTAAACCGGCGGTTTGCCGCAAGTAATCCGTTAACCGAACCGGTTATTCCGGATTTTTAAAAAAATTAACCACCGGATTTTTTAAGGCATTTTTAACCGACCATTTAACCGATCCGCGGTCCGGATTGACGGTTTTTTACGGTTAAAACCGGACCATGAACAGCCCTAAGCACACCGACCCAATTAATGCCATTGACTTTTCCACCACGTTTTAGCCCGCTGACCACTCATTATTGTTTCATTATATTTAGAAACTTAGAAGAATTCTTGAATAGAATACAAAGAATATTGATATTCGGCATTTTCCACGATGCTATTAACAAAACATCTATTCCTACCAATTATTGAGACACATGCTTACATAAATTTCGCTCATTATTAGAAGTTGATCCGTTTGGAAGATAGCGAATTGAAGATAAAATAGTAGATTGGACTTAATTGAGAGGTTTGACCCTTCAAATTCGCTATTGAGTTTATTTGGTAAATAGCTTATTTGAAAAACTTTTTGGGCCCAAAACTCTAATTTTGAAAAAGCTCATTAGAGCAGCTTTTTGGGATAGAAGATTCACAAAAATAATTTATTTGGAACTTTGTATTTTGTATTATTTATTTTACAATCTACATTATTTTATGGTGCTAATAAATAATAATATGTCTTCCATATGATTAATTTATCTAGAAAAATATAAAATTCATAACTTCTTCATCAAGTGTTAGTAAATTTTTTAAAATATATATATATATATATTTATAAATTACCAACTAAATAATATCAAATGTTTTAATATATTATTATTAAAATAATACACCCTAAATAATAAAATATCATTATTGGTCATTTTGCAATGTCAAACAGCTATAAGCTTCAGCTATTTACCAAATACTTATTTAAAAACCGCTAATGCAATCCGCTGGTCAAATAAGCTAATATAATATGCTATCCGCTATCCGCTAATACAATCTGTTATCCGCTATCTGTTATCCGCTAATCGTCAAACAAAGCCGTTGACTCCTTATCTTTTTATAGCAAAAATACACACACACACACATATATATATATATATATTATATATATATATTACAAATGACATGCTATTAATATTATTTCGTAGAGTATGATATTTTAAAAAATATTAACATTTATCGAAAAAATATAACTAAATAATTGTTGTTAACATCATAATCACAAGCACGCCAATTTTGATAAAATGAATTCAAACACTATATATATATATATATATATATATATGAGTCTCCTCCTAGATCTAGAGTGAACCGGTGGTTATCAGCTCCGATCTGTTCGAACTGCCTCCAATCGTTGCTAGACCGCCGTGAACACCTGCAAAAACTCAACGCTGGAAGTGTTTCTGGCGTAGAGCCTCCGACGCTAAAGTCAGTATGAAAGAGATGAAGAGAGCTCTGCTCAGTAGGAACAACAACAACAGGGAATGAATAGAGAGTGAAAGTTAGAGTTTGGGGTTACCTTGATCCCTTTATATAGAAGAGAATACCTACTTGAATTACGTGAAATGCTCTGGTCGACCGATCGGTTTCCCTGGTTTGTTGATGTCCTAATCACTACAAGAAAAACTGCATTTGGCGACGCTTATTAATGACGCTTATTGGCGAGTTGTGTTGCTAAATTTGATGTCAGAAAAAAATAAGCGTCAATAAACAAAAAAATAAGCGTCGCCAAATGCAGTTTTTCTTGTAGTGAATCATCTCTTAGTCATGCATGCATGAGTCAGCTTAAGATTTCATATTATCCAATAAAGATTCATCTTATTAAGTAAACCTGGATATTCCACAAGTATTGTGAATCGTCATCTGCCGCGGACCTATAAGGGGCCATAAGTCGACATCTTAATACCCGAAGTCGACCCGAAGTTCATCCATAAAAACATTAGGAGGCTCTACTGCATGTTCACCCTTACTGGAGGTCGTCTCTTAGCTAGTCGTCCTTGATTGAGGCGACGTGGAGGAATCAACTGGAGGAAGTCGACTCTCCCTATCACATGTGTCATAAGTCTTAGAGAAGGCAGTTAAGGAAGTCGACCTTAGGAAGTCGATTGACTTGAGGATTGTCAATTTAAGGATGTCGACCTTCCCTATCATGGTGATACAAGAAGTCAACTTCCTTTGTGAGCATTCCTTCGATTGACACGGGCAGTTCTACTCGTCATCTAGTCGAGTAGTGAGTACTCAGGCCGATATATCCTATTGTGGATATTTCAATAGGGAAATACGATGGTCCTGTTACGGAACCATCCCGTCGGGAATTATAATAGTTTGATACACAAGTAGTTAGTATAAGATAGATGATCTAACTGTTAAAACCCCGACGGGATGGTTCTGTAACGAGACCATAACATTTCCCATATATATATATATATGATAGTGGTTTTTCCCTGCAAATTAATATTTCAATAGACTTTTAATTTTTATATACATCGTCGCACATACATATATATATTCACAACATGATGATCCACATGGTAGTTGACTAAACATGAATTATTCTAATTAATGATCGATGTCACATAAATTCGAAAATAATCAATCCAATAAGTGCCCATTATACTATAAATTGGATCACACATTCGCATCCTAGCCTCGCACCAAAAAA